GCACGTAGTGTAAAAGCGGCTTTGAGTGGTCGGAAGACTAGAAAGGCGCTATACAAGTACAGGTCCATTTACCATCTTGAGACTACACGCATGTAATGTAACACAAGCTCTGAAGAAAGAAATAGTTAGAGTTACTTATGCTTTGTTCTCTCAATTCTTTCCAGCTCTGGCTCGGAGAGCATCGGATAACTCTAACAGTGGCAAGCAGCCAGCTGAAGCTGATCCCAACAAGAAGAAGAACATACGCAAGGCCAAAGGAGGCATCAAGGTACCATCCTATCCTCTGATCCCACTTTGAAATCTCACTGAAACATAAAACCCTTTCAACAAGTAACTTTCTTTTTCTGTTCATGTGAAAAAGAGGAGCAGCTGACTGACACTAGGGCACAGCATTGATACCAGTGCCAATCCTGATATTTTGATTTCAATGCTGGTTCCTAACAATACTTCTCTTATTTTTAGTCTTTGTTAGGGATGTGTATCTTTAGAAATGTACTGATAATATTGTGCAGACAGTTTAGATTTCTATTCAACCTGTGAACAGTACTTCCAAGGATACCACGTGTTAGATTGAATTACTGAGAAATGCATGATCTTTGGTGACATTCATTAAAGTTCAGTTTCCACCAAAGCACTGTCAATGAAAAGTACCTTCTGTTAAAGCAGCAGAAACACATCAGTACAAAGCATCAGTATGAGTGCACAGTTCCATTTGACTGAACACAGGCAAACAATCCAGAATCTAGTTATTGCAGGTCTAATGTAAAGACTGCAGACACCACATTTATGTACTGGCCGTCCCCCACAGACCCAAACAAACAGCAGGAGAGCCTTTGACATAGAAGAGCCCAGCTACAATAAAGGTACCCACACAGTCACCTTACTGACTTTATTTCAACCAAAAATACATTAGTTAGAAACCTGAAAAGTTGGTACCCAGCTGGAACCAGGTTTTCAGTATAGATTCAGGTTGTTTCCAGAATGGGTTTGCTTGTGTTAGTCTAGTTTTAGTTCACTTTTATTAGTTTCAGTGTTAGTCACATGGTCACAGTACACCCACCGTCATGTAAACATCCCAGTGTCAATAATGTACAAATGCTTCATCGAGCTGGTTGTGTGACTAATTTGAAGAAACTGACAAAGCCTGAAACTGAAGACATGTGCTGTATTTTTTTATTTTATTTTAGTAGTACTAGTACACAATATTATTTCAATTTTTATTTCTATTCAGTTAACTAAGATGTATTTTCACACCTAGTTAAGTTTTCAGTTTAGTTTTAGTTAACTATGATAACCTTGTCACACACCACATAGCCACATATCCATTCCTCGCATTGATATTGTTTCCCCCTACCCACCCCCCAACACCTCTGTTACATATTTTAAATGTCTTGGAAGGGAGCAGCCATGCAGAATTTGACTTTATCTTAAATTCCTGGCTCCTTCAATACTTCAACGATCTGCCACATGCTCCATCTTCACTCTGTTGCTCAGAAGTGAAGATAACAAGCAAACTAACAAAAAGAAACGCAAAAGCTGATTTTATCATAGAACGCTCTACCAGTCTCCATTAGAACCCACTACCTGTCCTCACAGAGGTAGGTCAGAGGTCACTGCAGCCCTGAAGCCGGTGTGGAATTCAGTGTTTTGTCAGCAGAGGCAATTGCGGTCTGAACAAAATCCCTCCAGCAGGACGGTCTCACTAATCAGTATGCTACCCTGCTGCTGTTTGCTGCTCTGCTGCGATTTTGCTCTGATCTCATTAATTGGTTTACAGTATGCATAATTTGGATGCGCAGCCTGAGGTTATTTTGTGCTGCTGACAAACAGGGTCTGTCTGTGTAGTGATAGTGTTGGTGTGTTAGACCTTAAACCCTCCTCCATAATTGATGAAGACAGAGCTGCCAGTCAGTGCCAGAATCAAAAGCCTACCAAGTCCTTCTTTTCACTGGTTGTATCAAGCTCCTAGAACATGCTTAAAGAAACCTGTGCTGAACTGCGAGCGTTCAATTAAGCAGATTTTTCCAAGTGAAAAGAAAGTGGAGTTTCTGTCAGAATACATGTACCTGAAACTAAACTGGTAGTCAGCCATGCACCCATAACTAAAGGTCAAACTAATGCAGCATCTTGCATTCCTCACGCCAATGTCTGTGGCATATTCAGTGAAACTGACCCAGAGAACTTTTCTGTGCACAACTGTAACATAGGCGAAGCAAAAGAGGAATGATGTATGGTTTTGCTGTCAGGTCGAACAGTGAAGTGGGTTTCTGGCACCTCCTTCCCGATCCCTTACACAGGTCAAGCTAGTCATGATATATGTAGAGCTACAATTGATCATGGTCTAATGTGCAGTCGGCCATGTCTCAGTCACCCATTCATTTCTGCAGTGGAATTTTACATTACAATTATGCTACAGCGCTGGTTCAACATACTTTTGTTCTTTTTGTCACTAGGAGTTGCTTTCTGATTTTCCAGGGAAACACAGCATATTCTGGACTTAACTTTCAACATTAATATGTGATTTAAACCACTGTAAATCAGATGATTAACATGTTAAATTAATGTTAAACTTATGTTTGTGATTGTTTTCACAGCAAAAATCTGTGGGCCTTTTCCTTAACATACTGAATATAGTATATGTATAGTGTTTGGTCTGTATTTGGCTATTTGCAAACAATATTTCAATCAGAAGGAATTTATTTTTTTAAACAAATGTATTAAATGTTCACAATGAAGAAAACGATAGAAGAGAAACGATTAGACCCCATCGTGACTTCATTGTATTTGAACGATTTCTCAACAAAATGACCGCAGAGAGGAGAACAGATTTAAAGTTTGACAGGAGAAACAGGATTGGCTGGAGGAGACTGTGGCTGCATGTGATTGGTTTAACTGAAAGAGTAAACCGCCCACTGTCAGCTGATAAGAAGCAGAGTCAGAGAATTGTGAATGAATGAAGCATAATGAGAAGGTCTTCCTGATATGCTGAGGCTTACGCTGAACTTCATTATTACATATCCAGGCTGCTAACAGGAATAGAAAGCAGCTTCTAATCTTGATTTTGCAGCAGCTTTACTGTTGGTCCAGAAAAAATATTTACCACTGACTGTGACTGTGACTGTTGACCACCTGAATGCAAACAAACCCCTGATAAAGACGTGATATTTTCGGGCTTTACAAGTTGACAGAAGTTATTATTTAATATAAAAAGCCCCTGCCCTAATAATTAAAGCTATGTGTTTATGTGTGTGTTTGTGTGTCACAGATTGAGGTGATGCATGAGGAAAGCCAAGGAGGCTCCACCCATGTCGTTGTGACCAACGAGACAGAGGAGAGTCTGTCCAACAGGCGCAGGTAAGGACAGCACACAGGCCATAACTGAGTGTTCACATACTGAAGAGACAACACAACTGTGTCATTCTCTGAGTCATAGCAGTGCTATATTCACCTATTCCACCACTGCTACAGCACTAGTCATATGCCATCCTTCTGTGCATGGTTTGAAGTAAGGTGAAGTATGGTGATTCATAACACATTACCACATGCACTGTGTGTGTGAGGAGCACATTTCAGACACAGGTGGCATAACAGTTAACATCCAGGTGACAGTAGAAGTGGTGATGTGGGACTCCAGTGTGGAATTTATCCATGTTTAATTTTACCCTGTGCTATATGGAGGCAGTCAAATCAGAGCAATTTAGTATTTCTATACACAGCTACTTTGTTTAAAGATCATCTCCAGACATTTATTAAGAGAAATAAAATATTTGTGTCTGATTTTTCCATAAAAAAGGTAAATTAGCTCAAAAAATCTGACAAGATGTCAACTCCTTCATTGAAAAGTCACATTTCTGTATATGTCTGCTTCAGATTTCTGCATTTTGCTTGTGTAAGTTGCATATTGATGTCTATGTGTTAAACTTAAGTGAGTTAAGTGCCATAACCATTGCAGAAGAAGGCACTATGAGATGATTTGATTAGAAGACTGGCAGTCAAATCCCAAACAAACATTTTAATGTATTCATTTGAGGAACATTAGAGTCTAGATCTAATGTTTTTGTCTGCTGCAGTTTCTCTTCTGTGGGAAGTAAACAGGTGGATGGAAATGCACTTAGTAAGTGAGAAACGGCTTCTGCTCTTCATTCAACACCACAACACAAGAGAAAAGAGCAGCGGTCTGTTACTTTTCACATGACTGTACCTCTCTCAGTGGTCTCCTGCTTGAATATTCATTGCACCAGGTTATACCATTAAGTGGGCCTGTTGTATTATTTGTTTGCATCATTTATCTAGTCAAAGTTGTTTTAAAAGTTTCACCCACACAGATTTAAGCTCCCTGGTCACATACACTAGTTCCCTTTGTGAGGTCTATTTGGTTTCAGATGTGTCCACTCTTCAACCAGTCAAAACAGCCGGGCATCAGATCTTATTTGCCTGCAATTTATGTAAATCAGAGGAACTGCTCACAGACCACTTTTTGGATTGGTCAGTTGGTGGTGTGTTCACATATGGAGATTGAGAAGCTATCTAGGTTTTATTAAACCAAATGAAAAACAACTATAAAGTCAACAAGATCACTTGTTGAACACATGACTGTTGTTTCACTAGTGAATGCTTTCCATCTGCGGGACCCACAAATGTTTTCCCAGCAGTAAAAAAAAAAGTTCCTTTTAAGGTCATGATGCCAGCAAATCTACATGCTCTTAGTGATTCAGCCTGTCTGGGATTTTTTTTGCGGTGAGGGACAAGAGAGAATCACAGGAAATGTGGGCGGACAGAGTGGGTTGAAGGGAAGGAAACCGAGTGGAGGCGGAGAGGAGGAAAACTAAAACTATATGGCTGGACATGGTTAAGCTACATATGAGTCAAAACTTTCCACTTATGACTTCAGAAGTTAAAACTAAAAGGGAACTTATTTACTATAATTATGACTATTCTAACTATCCATTAACTCCCCCTGCTCTTTCATTCCTTTTTCTGTAAGTCTCTCGTTTCTTTATAACTCTGTAGTAAGTGCTCTAACAGTGCCCCTTAGCAGTTTTCTCTCCTACTTGGCTCTCAGTTGGACTGTTACAGTGCGTAATCATGGTCTGCAGTAGAATTCATGTTGTTTTTCAGTTTCATTCCCTCATGCTGAATATCAGGTATTGTACTGTCTAGTGGGTATATGATGTACTGCAGGGGTCACAAACTGCTGCCCTCCTGCCCTTCACCCCCCTACCTCCTGCCTGCGACTAATGTCAAATATATAATCCAGCCGCAAGATTTTTTATTTTTTTAATTAGTTTTTCTAGTTTGTTTCAATTCAATTTAAACTACCCCATTCATATACAATAATACAAAAAAACACAAATTTATAATGAAAATGTAAAAATCATAAAAATAATGGCAAAGGTCAAAGGTGTCAGCATGCAAATGGCTGATAAGAACAGAGCAAGGTTTCAGGGCTTTATTTGTTGTTTGGCTGTGAATAATATAGATAATATAAAATGCTTCAGGTTCTATGTATAATAGGAAATGTCTGATGCACTTTTTCAGCCTTCTGAGAGTGAGTCAGTCAGTCAAAGCAGAACTAATAACGAATGCAAAGTTCAAGGTTCCAAGAATAGGCAGGCTAATGCAAGATTTTGTGGCCACTCAAAAGGAAATGCCAACAGAACATTTTAGGCTAAATATGTCTATTCCTCACACATCTATCTGTATCGTTTTTTTATATGATTTATGAATTCAGCCACATTTCCTTCCTTCTTCTTGGCTCCTGTTCAGTTTGAATAACAGGAACTGCAAGGTTATGACCCAGGTCCCTGTAAAACCAGTGATCACAAATTAAAATAATGAATTAACAAACACCCATTCTTTGCTCCAGGCCAGTCTCCTAGTAATTATATTCCTTCAACATCCAATATTGACATTCTTGTCTGGCTCTCTCTTTTTTGTTTTGAAACATTTTAATTATTGCTAAAACTGATGATTATTATCATTATTAATCTGGCAGTTATTTTCTTTAGTAATCAATTTGTCATAAGGAAGTCTGAAGTCAAAAAGTTGTAAACCAAAAAAACCTTTCTAGCTTCTCAGGGTCTAAGGTGACATCTTCAAATATCTTCTGATTTTGTCCATCCAACAGCCCAACACCCAAAGATATTGGTGAGGACTGATCCTGCTGATAACTGAAGAACAGCTGAGTGCATATCTTTGCTTAACACAAACATTTGGGTCTTTATTATAAGATAGCAAACACATACAATATCACCAGCAAACAGTAAAACTTAACATGGAAATGAAAAAAAACAGACTTTTTGTGTGAGGTACTGCCATTTCTTTGGTTGGCACATTCAGCAGTCCTTCAATTTAAGAGCATTCATGTAAAAGCAGCCATACAAGAGTACGTGTTTCGGTAATATGGTAGACACAGCATCATCACTCTCACTGCTGTGCAGTAAAGACTACCCATAACTCCTCTAGAGTGGCTGTGCATTGTAGGGTCTGTTGCTGCCTGCCATAGTGAGCGCACATCCTTGGCGTGACCATGCGATGTGATCATGTGATCATAGATGCAGGGGTGGTATGGAGCCTTGCCCTCCCCTGAAAAGTACACATGCTCCTGGGGAGAGACCCCCATGGCTTTGGCACAAATGCCCATGAAGACGTCGTCAATGTATATGGAGGAGTTCAGCACCAGAGTTGCATGGTAGATCTTAGCAGCAACATCCCCTGAAACCACGTACCCTGCTCCAGCAGTGTAGTCTGGGTAGGAAGGCCAGGGGTACAGATCATCTGGAACATGATATTTGCTTTTTTTACGGCGAACTGGAGGGGCTCCTCTGTGTACATGCCCCACCCACAGGTCTTTGGCCCCTCTTTTTGTACTCAAGAGCTCCCGCAGGTACTTCACCAAATTGGGCATGTGGACAAAGATGTCGTCATCAGCAGACATGAGGAAATGGGCCTGAGGGCAGTACTTGTGGCCCCAGTGGAACTGCAAAATCAATTTGGTAGTCAGGTTATGAAAGGTGTCCAAAAAGTTCTGCTGGATCAGGTCTCCATAGACCTGGTCCTCCTGCAGCAGTGCGCTTTGCACCCTGGATCTCTGCTCAGCATCTGGGTGCACACCAAGGGCGAACACCAACCTCACACTTGCCCCTAGTTCTGACCATACAAAGCTTTCGTTTCCCCACGTGTCCCTGATGGCCTGGCGCCGCTCAAAGTTCTCCGGTGATGATTTCACAAACAGTAGTAGTAGGACATCATCCCAGCTTTTCCCATCTGCACTGGCACCTCCACATTTACCTGGGTGGTTGATGAGGTATGCATAGTTCACTAACCCACTGTCCCCACCGTTAGAACCATCCTTTCTGTTGTGATGGTTTGAGGTGATGGCGAAGGAAGAATTGAGAAAGTCATAGCTGTTGACCAGGTAGCGGTAAGTGTAGGATCTCATGTGGCTGACCACATGGTGGTCCAGCTCCTCCCAGCAGACCATCACCACACACAGAATCAGGCCTGTGGTCAGCAGCTGCACACACTGGCACTTGTGGATCCGACGGAAGTTCATGAACATCGTGACTACTATTTCTTTCTGCTGATCTCTGAATACTGATGGCACTCCGGATCTGTCTAGACTTCTGCTCTCCAGGAGCTGTATCTTCCTCTGTCTTACCTGTCTCTTCTTTTTCTGACAGTATGCTATTTCATCTCTGCCTCCTTTCACTCTTAAGCTTCACTTCTCATTTGACTCTTACTTCTGCCTCTAGCGCTCCTTTAATCTATCTAATCGACTTTCTCATCATCCCCCCACTTTATCTTCCATCATCTGTCTCCCCTCACATGTATCCCCTTTCCCTCCTGTCCTACCAACTGGCTCCTCTTTTTGATGTTGTCAAGTCCATTAGGTTTTTGTTAGGCTCTTCGGCAGTCTGGGTGCTCCGTAACTGATCTTCCTCCGCTGTGTGAAGCAAAAGCTCCACTCCCTCATAGTGATCAGGCAGTGGACAGCTCCAGGTTAAAGCTCAATGTCATTCCTTCAGCTCAAACAGATTCAACATGCTCTTTCGTCCTCCTCTCCTGATAACTCCTGGTTAGGTTCACAGCTCTCCTCCACTTCCTTGTCCCTCCTCCTCTTGGTTACTGTAACGTCAGGATGTCATAGAAGCACATGGCACCTGAGAAAGAGATCATAACAACTAAGATCATATTGAGTCATATTGACAGGATTTTGCATGCTTGGGCAACACATTTAAAAGTTAACTCCTGGAATGATTAATTAAGTCATTCATCAACTTAATTGCCAACTATTTGGAGATTTAATTAATTAATTACCTCATTTAGACAAAAACAATATTTTCAGCGCATTAATTAAAAACTATGTTACAGCATTATCCTCTCTCTTTCTACTGATGTTTCCTTTCGTCTCTACTGTGAACTGATCAATAAAACTAAAATTCAAAGTAACTGGTTTTGGTAGTGAAACTTTAAAATAAAGCCTTGTACTACCTGGACTGTCCAAGACCTTAAGTGTAGGGTTACACCAATAAATCAGCTGAACATCAGCCGATATTTGCCTTGGTGACTGACATAGGCCTATCGGCAAATAAGACGGCATTCACGGGTATCAGTGGCTGATATTTATCTGTTGTGTTGCATCAATTTTGGCCCTGGCTAAATGCTGTGTTGGTTATTTCCAAGTCAGATATTGGAGAAAATCACTTCCATTTTCCAGCACAACTCGCATAAAAATACTGGTGTGCTCCACGCAGCAGCGTGGACAGTGAGCAGCTGTTCAGCTCTGAGTCTCACGTCTTGGATTAGAAGAGAAATAGACTGAGCTGTAACAAGGCAGAGGCTTATCTTTGTACATTTTGTTGTTTCCCTGGCACAAAAGGGCAAATAGATAACAACATTGCCATCGGCTATCTGCCAAATTGTTATTTTAAAACGTCAGTGGAATAGCACTACTATAGCTACAGCAGCTTCGGACAGTATTTGGCATATGTTGTTCCAGGTAGATCTAAAATGATAAGTGGATTAATCATTTAGTCAATTGACAGAAAATTAATCTGCAATCATTTTATTGTTTTTATTTTTTCAATAATCAGCTGATAATGAAAATAATTCCAGGGACCACAGCAAAAATGTCCCACACAATTCCCAAGAGGCCAAAGCACGGACTCCACATGTTTTGTCTGAATGATAAATAAAAGCATCAAATCTTCACATTTGAAAATCTGGAACAATAAAATATTTGGGATTAGTGTTTTTAAAATAACTGAAATGACAAAAAAGATTATTTTTCTCTTGATCAGATAATTGATTTAATCATTTCAGCTCCAATTTAATTCAGGCCTTAGCACTTGCAGTCTGTTGTTAGCACAGACTTTACTCTTTGTGCTGTAGACTGTAATTGAAATAAAGTCCCTGTGGGCCTCCCTTGGGTCAAAACAGTATCAAATTGTGAAGGTAAAAGAGGGGGGTGGGTTCAATTCAGATAAATAAGTGCTAACAGTGTTGCAGCGCAAAATGAAGATGGCAACCAAAACAACCAACATAATGTACAGAATGTCAGAAATGTGTTGTGAGGATAAAACAGGTGAGTTAGTGTGAGCACCCCCTCCCCTGGGTCACTGCAGACATGGATTAGTCAGGAAACACGTCAGCCACTCCGAACGCACAGCTCACAGGTAAAAACATATGTTTTGAACATGAAATAGAAGATAATACTGGAAAGTCGAGCAGTTGGACCACATCCAGCAGGCAGACAGCACCTGTTTAAAAAAGCGACTGGAGTCTTCCGGATCAATCAGATGATCGCCGCTCGCAGTAAACGCACCCGGCACAAACGCAGAAGATTCCCCGCAAGTGTCGTACTCACCGCAGAAATGTAGAGACCCGAATGGCGGAGCGGACACGATTAGGCCAACTGGAAGTAGTCGCTGTTACATTATCACCTGTGCGTCTTTTGGATTTGCTGAGGATGGTTCCTGCGTCACCACGTGGTTCTTACGCACAGGTATTTACTTGTGAAGTATGTTCCTCGGGGCTTTTGTAGCGTGTAGAAGGTGTGTGGAGGTGGTGTCTTTTTTTTAAACTACAATCAGCAGCTCTACAGCTGGCTCCTCTTGGCCTCTGTAGCGGTCGGTGACCCTCTGTTTGACGGCCACAGTTCTGGCTCTAGGACGCTGACATCTGGCATGAAGTGTTGTGAATGAATGTTGTTTCTGTGGCGATTTAATAGTATTTCTTATTTTCATCTTCATCTGACCATGACTGCAGCTATCTGCTAAATGGTAGGTTATACTCATTAGTCAGAGGAGCCTTTGAGAACACACAAGCACTGTCTGACAGTTCTTGCGTACTCGTTTACATTTACATATTCAGCAGACGCTGAATCGAGTTTGGTACCTCATTCCACCACAGAAGGCGAACAAGCTCCTGAATTAGTACACAGAAGTTGTGAGAATCAATAGTAGTAGGGAGCATGAAGTGTAAGAGCGTGTCTGATAGGCTCCTACCCTGAGGACTGACAGTAAACAGATGTAAAGTGATGTAAATTAGTCATTTGTTTAAGAATGCTTTGTAAATAAAGATATAGCAGTGATGATTGTGTCTCACAGAGAGCGAGAGGAGCAGCAACCTTTTGCATAGAGTACAATGTAGGTTGACCAAGAAAAACTTGCACAAATGCACACATGCTTTTATATACACATTGCAGAGCAAAACAGGCTCCTGTACAACAACAAAGCTCAGGCAGTGTAACGCAGTGTAACGCAGTGTAAGGCAGTGTAAGGCAGTATAACGCAGTATAATGCAGTATAAGGCAGTATAACGCAGTGTAAACTGTCCCTCAATGTTACGTTAGTTCAAAATCTCCCATCCTTCAACAGTTCAACAAACAACAAAATGAACAATAAAAACAGCATAAAACGTGGCAAACTTACAGATTCCGAGTTTGAAGTCTGTATATGTTGAAATAATGTTAAAAGGAGTTCGGTCTAGACCTGCTCTATTTGAAAAGTGTCCTGAGATAACTTCTTGTTATGAATTGGCGCTATACAAATATAACAATAAAACTGAATTGAATGAATTGAATGTACATGAACATACATCAGGCTGCATATTTTCCCCTGAAAATAACAGATAAAGAAACACTTTCCCTTTATTAAAGTAACACCAGTGATTGTTGGACTAATGAGAATTTGGTTGGATGAGAGCATATCGACCAAACAGTCAACCAACAGACCACAAGGTGTCAGCCCTAGAACAATGATGGGTACTGTAGGTGTCTTTCACTGGATAGGTGGTTGTGTGTGTCAGTTGAAAAATGTGGCTGGCCCAAACATATTGATTAAAATATTGCCCAACTGTAACACACAGACACAGAGCTTTTTGCTGACTGGTTTTGACTAAGTTAAGTCGAGTTTCAGTCTACCTTCCTACTGTGCACTGTACTATGTGCATTCGGAAGTAGAAGTTTCCCATCAGGAAACAGGAAAGCCTTTTTGTCACGTACATATCTCCTGTTCTGTAAAAACAATGAGATTATAAATGGCTTAATACAGTAACTCATGTCAGTCAGTATCATATTAACTAGTGTACAACTAATCAAAAATAACCATAAGCTAATGTGTTAGGGGGGTCAAACTGAGTGCAGATGATCCCTCTGTGATTAACAGTGCAGCAAATTGCTTTATCTGCTGTGTCTCCTGCATGTGACTGTTCATAAAGTGCCAGAACAGGGCGTCCTGTTTGCTCTCAGGCCGAGGCATGAGCTGTAAATCTCTCTGGATGTGGCTTGACATGTCACCTTATGCTGTCCTCCCTGTTTCCTTTGTAATCGCTGAGTCACACATTGAACCCATCTTCCTACCATTGTTGGTTCAAATATTGGTGCACAGGGACATGAGTCAACCCCACTGAGCTTCTACTCAGTCTCACTCAGTAAAAGTTAGTTAACAGCTGTCGTCTGCAAGTTATTCTGCAAGTTGGCCATACAACAGAAACAAAACTTTCGGATCTTCTCTGGTTGAGATAAATGACAGCTGGTGGACAAAGTCATCAGAATCTCCCTTTTTTAACTTTTAAGAATCATAACAAGCTTATTATTCAACAGTTGTGATTGAGGACCTTCAGTTTCAGGGCTGTTAAGCAGTCTGTCATGTATCATTAGGGCTGTATATCTGGTGATGCGATACGTATGATACAGGGGTTAAAATTCCATATATTTCAATGTTCTTAGCAAAGCGATAGATTGTGATTTAAAAAAAAAAAATCTTATTTTAGGAAAACTGTTATGTAGAACACCATAAGCATAAAATCTGATTTTAAAAATCTAGAAGTTGGGCGTGGGTAAATTTTCAAAAAGAAAGATAGCCAAATTTACTTAGAAATTTACCTTTTGCAAAAAATAACCCTATCTTTATATCGATTAATTTCCTCAAATAATCCAGGCCTAACTGGTACCAAAACAGGGAAGGGGGTGGATAGAAGCTGACTGAAACACAAGAATCACCATTGTATATTGTAAACAGTCTGTCCACCATGCTGGCTAACCATCTTTAACTCTGCAGAGGACGCTGTGAATGTAAGTGCTGACCCAGCAAAAAAACGACTATAATAGAGGGGCTTTAGCCCAACAGAGCCCCCGAGCACAGAAGTTGCTGATGTCGGTGTAATGCTGCCACACAATAGGCTCAACACATATTTCCACAGCAGCATATTTCAACTTAACACCGGGCTCATCCAACAATGGAAGAGCTCTGGCAACATGTGGCCCGAGCCTTGAAATCCAGAGGTCTTGTGACTGAGAGGATGCACTGACTAGACTTTGTACTTGATGAGCCTTCAAGTATTAATCTCTGTTTTATACTACTGTTACCTGTTCTGAAAAGGTACCAAACAGTAGTAGTATTCAACATGAAGCCAATTCAGAATCACTTCTGAATTTGCTGTTGTAAAGGGAAAAGACCTGTACCACACAAGTAACAGTTTTTCTTTCCTGTTACTGTAGAACACACACAACCACATTTTAGGTTATAAAAAGACTCTTAGTGTATGTACTCTTTCCCCCTCTGCTGCTGTTCAGAGCAATATTTGAGACACACACACACACACATACTTCACATGCATTGAATAAAATAATGAACAGTAGTTAAAATGTATTCAGAAATTGCCTTTTAATTAGGCAAAAATGTAAAGAAAAAAGAAAGTTCCACCTACAGAAAAAAAAGTCATCCACTGTGAAGACAAAAATGACATACACACTGCTTGAGTGCTAAGTGTTGTCTAGATATATCGTAAAAACTGTAAAATGACCAGCAATGAGCATTTATAAAAATTAGACTATCACATGTTTGCTGCAGTGAAAACTGTTGTTAATTAACAGAAGTCACACATGGTAATGACTTTCTTTATAACAATTTCCTTTGGCAGGAAACTAGTGGTTGTTCAATAAAAAATAATCAGTATATCTCAAAGTGGTTTAGAGAGGTTTTAGACATAATAATTACTGTGAATCACTGTCTGGGTCATGTAATAAATTAAGTCATTTCTTTTTGTATAGTTATATGGAACTAAATTTAAATCAAATAAGTGTACAATTTGAGGAAGGTGATGCTGTACAATGATAAGGGGTTGACTGTGAATGTAAAACCGAGGGTACATTGTGATGTTATCTTACAGATGTCCATGCATGCTCTACCACCATAGGAAGCCACGATTTGAAGGAAATCGTAAGTGTGCTCTGAGCCGTTTGTTTCTTTTGTTTTCGTGATTCATAAGAGTAGAGTAGAGCACAATCTGAGTTTAGCGGACATCAATGGTCAGGTGTTGATATTTGACACCAAGCATTAAGAATTCTTGAAAGGCCCACATTACCCAACCAACCTTTGAGTGTGTCCTACACTACAGCATACAATGCAGATTAGCTCACCTTACCATGTTTACTTTACAAGAACTGGAACTGGATGTTGTCCCTAAAGACCAGGGATGGACAATAGAACATTACACTAGTCTGTGTAAGCTTTTTGTATGCCCTGTTTCCCTTGCAAATTAGGATTTTTTTAATTTAAGCAAATGTGAAACAGAGGGATCCTTTCCACTGTGGCCCGGAGTAGAGACAACAGATTCCATATGCTATCTACCCAGCAGAGTACTCCTTACATCATGCTGTGTAACATACTTGGTTGGACATACTTTTGGTTCCGTACATAATGGTCATTGGTCATCCGGGTGAAATATTACAGGAATGTGGAACGTTTCTGTTATTTAGGCTGCGGTGGCACATGTTTATTTAATGTGAGTTTAATCATACAGTCTGTTAGCTGAGAACCAGAGGATTATTTTCTGAAGGAGGTTAAAAAAGGTTAGGAGATTTGGAGATGGAAGCCATGTTTCTTCAAAGATTTTTTCTTGTTTCGAGGAAATCTGGTTTTATTTTTGTAGTTTTGGCCTTTGTGTATTCAGTTATCATTATATTGTGCTAGTTATTATTATATTAAGCCGTAATTGCTTGAGATGTGGGAACATGGTGACATTACTACAACAAAGTCTAATAGGCCAAGGAACACAAGCAGTCAGGCAATCAGTTGGAAACAGTTTATCCTGATTATCTCAAGGACTTTGTAGGTAAAACTGAACGTGGGCACACCTGAAATGTCGGTAATAATAGTTGTACAGGAAATGTGGGTGCAGAGTAAAAACTATGTAGATGCACAGCCCATGTATACGTACAACTCACCAAAACTGACTTTTCACAGTCTTTTTAACAATCATCAACCCTGGTGTCATTGAAATAAACCCCTAATTCACAGTTGGATCTGAAAATATTTATGAAAAGGGCTACAAACTATAATGTAAGCTAATGTTAATCCTTTGGGATAAATGCACCCATCAAAGAACGTCATGGCTCAGATTTATTTTTCTAAGTGACTGATACATTATGGAAAGAATCCCTAGAGAAATAGACCTTTTGTTTAACCAGAAACAACGGTAATATGGCTATTGCTCGCCACCAGACTCCATAGAAAAAAAAGTTAATTTTATCTTTTAAGTTACGATGTTACAAAGTGGACAGAAATAAAATAAAACTCACTTTTTTAGTCTTTCCACTGTTCCAACAATCACCAACTCCTGTGGTCAAAATAAATCCCTAATTCACTGACATAGATGAGAAGAACAGCAGTTTCAGTCGTTCTGCAAAAACAGACTGGCTAACAAACCACAGAGAGGCTGCGACAGCAACACAGGCAAAGTTTAACCCCATTTGCTGCCCACTATATCTTCACATAGCTAATAGTTGTGGCTATACTGCGACGATTAAGTGTTTATTTTAACTTTTAAAGTAAAGTTACCACACATTTACATGCTAAGAAAAGGTAAATTAAATGGAGACAGACAGTGCTGTTGCACAACTTTTTTTCATACACAACCATTAGAAAAAAGACTGTAAAACGGTCGATATTTGTCTGACCAAAGGACTCTGTGTTGTTACAATCAAATCCATTTTGCCCAATTAAACTAGAAAGTCTAGAAAAGCCCTACGATGAAATTATTTTATCCCACTGGGAAGCCAACAGGAAGTCAGCCAGCTCTCTAACACACATGCTCTCAACATGCAGCTTCACTGGAGAAGGACTCAAGTGTGCTCTATGGACCCTAGAACGCAGAAGCCCAGCAAGCCCGTTGTGGCTTTTTTGGCATATGAACCCAGTGAGCAGCTGTCAAAGGAATGAATAATCTTGGAACGCATATCCAGACGTATCCAGTTTTTCTTGATTGCTAACCGGTTCTCAATACCCAACCTGAGAGACTAATTGATTCCGTCACAGATCGAATTGCTGAAGAATCTACTATAAGTGTCAAATCACATCCAGTCACGTAATATTGTAACTGTGCTTTAGATTGACACACAGTTCGAGAAAGAAAGGAGGGCGGAGAAAGACTCGATTGAAAATCTCTCCTCCCGCAGTTTCTGCTTCCTGCATGAGACATTTTTTCCTTGAAAACGTATTGTAACTTTATTTCATCTTATTTAGTTCTTAGTTGGTGTGGCTCTGACCTAAAGTAACACTGTTGTAGCCTGGAAAAGTGTGGAAACCTGGCTATGTGTCAGTTTAGCCGTCAGAGTTCAGCAGAGTTTCCCTCCAGTGCTTTTCTGAAAGAACGTTACAATTTTACTTTCATTTCCCTATGTGATGAGATGTCTTAAGACGATAGGACGTCTAGACACGAACCCCAGTCACCACGAGGTACAATAGTGCAATAAGTTAAAAACAGGTTCTGAAACAGCATTTAGAACAGATAGATAATTGTAACAACAACAAACATATTCAATTTGATTGTTTTTGAGTATAAAGTGAACCGAATGGCAGAGACTGAACCATCAGAGCTTCTGTCATGTAAATTCTTCAAGGTTTGTTAGTTTTCACATCCTGTTTGCTCTCTGTTCCCTTGCTAACCCAGCCCAGTCAGTCTGATCCATTCCCTCAGCCTAACTGGAACAGTCCTGTAAAATCTGCCCCCGGGAAACTCCCAAAAAAAAACGTTAAAAAAGTGTTTTGAGTTCTGTAACTATTTACGTGTTTGACTTTATCTTGACACATTCCGCTTGTTTTTCTCCCCCTCTTACCTCACTAACTTTTTCAGTCTGCTACTGCAAGCTGACACCTTTAGCCTCGAAGACTGGAAGAGTTCATTAGAGCAACACTGTCAGCACACAAATAGACACAGAACACAATGTGCTCCTGACTTACCGGGCTGTTTTTGAGTCCAGGCCATGTGTGAGAGTAAAGTACAGATAAAGCCCCTCTCCTCTGCTCTGTTCAGCTTCTGTAAACTTGTCCTCTTTGTCTGTCAGAGACCCTCACCTTCTCTGCTTCACTCTTTCCAACTGTTTTTCTTTTTCTTTCACCATCTCTGCTTTCTGCCACTTCCCTCCTCTGCCCTTCTTTTTCCTCTCACTTTTTCCCCAGTAGTCCACTTCAGCAACTCGGCTTCAAATGTTGCCCTGAAGGTTCCAGTGTGAGCGTGTGTGTGAGAGAGACAACGTGTGTGTGGAGCTGGAGAGCAGGAGGGAGGGCGGGTGGAGGGGGAGGAACCACTGGACACATCTGTACCTCCCCTTTACTGTATCCCACCACCATAAGTGCAAGCACATGGGATTTCAGATGCCAGATGTCAGTTTTGGATGAATGAATGTGAATGTGATTTAATAGCAGGAAACCCTAGACAAGCTTCTCCTTGTTTGTTACAAATACATTCTGAGTACTGCATGTTTATTTATTACAAACAAGAACAACAGCTAATAAGAAGTCAACACAAACAATAAAAGAATATGTGCAAATTTGCTCTCAGGTTTATATATGTGTCAAGTAAATACATGTTAAATAATCCAAATACAAGAAATAAAAGGTACATATTCACTGTGTCTCAAGAGCTATTTACACTTTTAAGTTGGAACCCTAGGCGACTGTTGATGATGCCTTTAGGCGCTTCGCCCCCTCTGCTGGCCACAAAGCCGAATCTAACCATCCTGCAGGAGCTGAACAGGACAATACTGTCGCTGTTTTCTCTCCAAACTGACTGAAACCTCCGTAACAGCAAAAGCCTTATCCTAAACAGGAAGGTGATCAAATGCAGGTGCAATTTGCTGCAAGGCTCCATAGTTGTGCTTTAAAAGGTCATTAATTAAATAAATAATAAATCTATGTTTCTCTCCACTGTCTTAATTAACAATTAATCAAACTGTTCCCCCAATAAAATTCAATTCAATTCCATTAAATTGTATTTGTATAGCACCAATTCATCTCAGGACACTTTTCAAATTTAGCAGGTCTAGACCGAACTCCTTATAACATTTACAGA